GAGTCAAATACTAACTCAGTTTTGACTCTTCCCACAGCCCATGGACCCTCAGACTCTATCCCTGGTCATCAATGACCAATATCCATTAAAAGCTAGTCTAGGAAGTGACTACTATCCCAAATCCAACTGTGAGGCCACTACTGGTTGTGTTTACTACATCCACTGCTTCCTACCCCACCTTCCCATGCCACTTCCTCTCCAGGGGCACTTCGACTTGACCTACAGTACCTTTCACGCATGCTCAGTGCCTTTTCTCCGGAAGGAACAGAATAAATGAATGGTGTACCACAAAACCATAAACCAAAGGAAAATTGTCTAAAAGTGACATTTAGGTCTTGCAGAGTCACTTAATGAAGGTGGGTTTTGAACAAAAAGGCCTCTGGGGGATCTGAAATCATACCTCAGAGGGAGTTTGCAGTTCAACTCCTTGTGAGACTGATTCAGAATTTAAGTTTCTCCAAAGGCCTTAGGCCAATATATCACTGTCTTCTCTCCCCACCTACACACACACACACACACACACACACACATGGCCAGTTAAAGAGAAAACTACAGCAACTTGATAGGACTTAATTTTCATCCCCTGCCACTGCCATCAACATTGATATTAAACTTGGTGTTGATTTTTATGTTTCTTAATGACCATCGCCCACGCCTAGCTCAGAAAGAACTGGATACTAATAAGAACCAGAAGTCTTGACAAAAGACATTCTTCTCTGTTGTTCCCACCCAGCCCTGACCTCCCTTCTAGTGCCTTTAGCTCTGATTAAATGCACCAAACAACAACTATCCATGGAACACTTGTTCCAGGCAGACACAAGGCAAGAGTGCAGGAACTTACTCAGTTCCTCAGCAGTAACTTACTCAGTTCCTCAGCAGTAACATAGAAATACGACCATTTGTTCTATCCTTGATTATCATCCCAAAGGCTTCATTCTTAAATGTGAAATAAAAGCACAAGGGGTGTAAATGTGGTTTTAGGATTTTGGGGCTATGTGGTGCAGTGAATTTACATGGCTCTTGTAGCCATGGTCTTTGTATGTCCCACCAGATGATTGTGTGGGGCTATGTAAATGTGAGGTGCTTTGTGGGCCACCAAGGGAGTTAGATAACATATTAATAAAGTAAATAAGAAAGATAAATGGCACCCTTCTGGGAATGGAACCATGGAATAAGCTGTGTGGAACCCTAACTTGGAGATTGGTCAGGTTTTCCATCTTGCTAGTCTTAAAATGTGCCATCCTACATAACATACCACATAAAACATTGTTCCATCTCCTAATTTGGTGAGTAGCAACTGGGATCATAAAAGCTTGCAAGCAGCCATCTAGATGCAACAATGGCTCTCTCCTCGTCCAGAGCAAAGAAGAATGAAGAAAACCAAAGATTCATGGAAACAATTAGTCCTCATGACCAGTACACCATGCGATCCTCAGCCTATATGACTATGAGGCCAGAAGAACTAGATGGTGCCTGGCTACCACTGTCAACCACTCAGAGGAGGATCTATGGAGGAGATCCTGGATAGAGAGGGAGAACAATCTGAAACAAAATTCACAATCATTTGGGGAAAAAAGGGGGGGCACCAGGTTTGCTGGTCTGATAGAGCCTGGTGGAACCACTGAGACTATGGCCCCTAGCTGCCCTTCAAGTCTGGAATTGAACCCATACCTGTGGCTTCCAGGCAAACAAAAGACAGGCATATGA